TACAGTGAATACCACTGTTTTTGTAGTTAATCCATGCTGCGTCTACAGTGCATAGCTTTATCTTTTTTATACGCTGGAAAATGTGAAAGGATATGGATCTAATTTAATGTTCAGTTTTGGTCACCATGATGTAAAAAAGATGTGGAGACTCTAGAAAGAGTGCAGAGAAGAGCAACAAAGATGATTAGGGGACTGGAGGCTAAAACATATGAAGAACGGTTGCATGAACTGGATATATCTAGTTTAATGAAAAGAAGGACTAGGGGAGACATGATAGAAGTATTCCAGTATCTCAGGGGCTGCCCAAATAAGAGGGAGTCAAGCTATTCTCCAAAACACCTGAGGGTAGGACAAGAAGCAATGGGTGGAAACTAATCAAGAAGAGAAGCAATTTAGAACTGATGAGAAATTTCCTGACAGTTAGAACAATTAATCACTCGAACAACTTGCCTCTAGAAGTTGTGAATGCTTCAACACTAGAAGTTTTCAAGATGTTGGATAATCATTTATCTGAAATGGTTTAGGGCTTCTGGTCTAGGCATGGGGTTGGACTAGAAGACCTCCTAGGTCCCTTCCAACTATTCTATTCTATTCTATTCTATTCTATTCTATTCTATTCTATTCTATTCTATTCTATTATAAAGTACTCCATTAAAGCAAAGGTTTCCTTCTTTTGTGCCCAAATGGGTCTCTGGTGTCATTCATTCGGTATATCTTCACATTGTTGAAAGTTATGAGTGAAATGGTATGAGCAGCTATGTGTTTCGTTAATTTTTGCACTGCTATGATTTTAAAATCTAACTGAAAGCAAATGGCATTATGGGGAACAATTGATACAATGGGAAGGTGAGGGTAGGATAATAGTATCAAGTAATTTCTTCAAATATGTCATTTCCAAATGTCAAATTCCAGTATGTCTTACTGGACATAACTAATCTGTTCTTTTATCATAATAATGTAATTTATTACATGCCGTGTCTCTCCTTTTCACATTCTTCCTCTAAATTTAGAGTTAATTGCCCATCAGAAAGGACAGATTAGTAAACAGCCACCATATGAGATCTACTTTTGTTTTGGAGAAGAATGGCCAGATGGGAAATCAAAAGAGCGAAAGCTGATTGTTGTTCAGGTAAGAAAAAAATTATTGCAAAAATACTGTATGCTACTACTCCTTAGTAGAAGAATGCATTTGCATCTATCATAGAATAAGTCTTCACATAGAATGTGTAAAATCTGCTTCATGGTTTTTTTGAATGTGAGTAGATAAAGGGGTGTAAAGAGCCAGAGCTGCTATTTCAACAGTGCACACATTTCATCTCTTATTTTCTTATTTTCTTGTATTGAGCAAGATGAACCAAAGGAAAGACTGTTAATGTAAAATGACACTCTTTCTCAAACCCTGTTTAATCCAAGTAAATCTGAGAATGAAAGTCAGGATTCACGCTTTCTTTTCGTCTAATATAGTCAGAACTTTTTATCTTTTGACACAAATTCCTACTCACTTTGATCAGAACTAGCCTTATAAGAAATTTCCAAACAATTTAAATGAAAGGCTACAAGTATTGTATACAAAAAGTAATTTCAAATGACTACAACCTATATAGTCAGTGAATACCTTTGCTATTAACCAATTACCAAAAGAATAATTGCTTTACCTGTGTATAAATGATGATCAAGGAGAGTCTTGACACATTGTGCTAACCATTGTACTAAGCAGCCATAGTATGATTTGTCTATGCCAGTGATGGCTAACCTTTTTGTCCTTGCATGCCAAAACCACGTGCACTGCAGCGTATGTGTGTGCCCAAACCCATAATGCAATGTACCCTGCCCCTTGCGCATGTGTGCACGATCCCCACACTTTCCCCTGAATTTGCACAACCCACCCCTGTGCTCCAATTTGGGCCTAGCTGGCCTCCCTGAAGCCTCCTGGTACAAAAAAATGGACCTTAGGAGAGGCGCTGCTCCCCCATGCTCGTCCTGCACATGCTTGCATGATCCCCTGTGCATGTGCGCACGTTTCCCACATGCCTGGGAGTGACCTGAAAATCAGGTGGTGGGCAGGAAGACTGCACATGCACCATGGAGCTGAGTTGGTCAACAGCTCGTATGATCACAGAGAGGGCTCTATGGGTCTACGCTATACAAACCAAAATACTATGTTTTCTATATTGCAGAACATAGCTGAAAAACT